TTTTTTTTTTTTTTTTTTGGCAGAGCCTGCCTGCCTGTACCACAGTGAGGGGGTGAGCCGCCAGTGGGTTAAGCAGCCCCTGATCTGTGGGGGGCGCAGTCCTTCTCTCCATTGTGGTGGTATCCCCCAGGGCTGCCTGAGCAGGCTGCTAGTGGATGTACTGCCCCAGTTTGGAGGTGCTGCCCCAGTCTGGAGGCAGCACCCAGCCCAATCCAACTGTTCCCTTCCCTCCTTTGAAGGATGGACCGTTGACCCTGGAGCTCAGGGACCACTCGGCTCTCTGGCAGCGCAGCCCCCAGTTGTGGACAGGCTCTGACTCCAACAACAAAAAATGGATCGGGCCCCTTGCCATAACATGAAACTGTGGGTTTCAATCAAAAACCCACCGTTTCAATTTAGAGGACATAAAATTGAAAACCTGAGGACTAAACTCCCATCACATGTACAAGTACTTCCAGTACCCTTGGTAAGTCAGCAGCCAGGGCTGGTGCCCTGGTTGCATTCCTTATAGTTACACTACTGACTCAGGCCAGGAGGATCACTCAAATATAAGGATGGCCCACTCAACTCATGTACAGCCAATGTAAGGGCTCCTATATTACACATACACCCTTCATGCATATATCTGAAATGACCTTACACCAACACTATGAGTCCTTAGTTTTATTTTCAAATCCCTGCAGGCCTGTGAACCCATAGGTTCAATTGCAGCTATGCAGAGAGCAGTGCTAGGATCAGAATAATGCAATGGCGAATATCCTTTTCACAACATCCCCTGGCTCATTCCCTGAGGAGTTTCTCTTCAGACAAAAATTAGGTTCCATAATGTTTATGGGACAATGGAATTTTCCTTTTCCACATAATGCAGAACAGTATTTTCTTTAAGCATCTAGTTTTTAAATTGCCAGTGTTAGTATGCACCCATGAATAAGGCTTCTAGTTGCAAGTTAATTGAGTATAAGCAATTCTATAAATGAGACATTCGTATGTCACAGTGACAGACGCAGCAAAGGAACATATATGGATAGATGGCAAGTCAGAGGGTTCATCTACACATGTAATTAGCACATAGCAATAAACTCCGGTGCAGTTTGCACCAGAGTTTATTGCCCTTGGGCACAGTGTTTCTACATGTGCCTGGGACAACAGTACACAGAGCGAGGGCAGAGCAAGCCCAGCTGCCAGGGAGTTCAGAGGTCAGCCTGTCATCCCAGGGCTGTTCCATCCCAGCTCAGCATGCGGGCAGGCAGGCAGCTCCCACACTGTAGTACCCTCATGTCCCAGCCAGCCCTGGTCACCATCTACATGTACATTTCAACACATTACTCTGCTGTAGGGTAGTACTTATCCCAGAAACTAGGGGTGTGTGAAACAGGCTGTATTTGATTTGGATTCAGATTCGGCCCGAATTGGGGACAGTGATTCAATTAATTGATTCAGATCACTGCCTCCAATTCAATTCAGCCAAATCCAAATCTGAAGATGAGATGCTGATTTGGAGAATCAGTGATTCGGCCATAGACACAGCTTTAAATGTTTTTTCTGCATACCTTGAGATACTAGGCATGGCTCATGAATGCTGTGGGGTGGATGGAGTGTGCCACAGGAGCATGGAGGGGCCCCCCCGCATGCTCAGTGGCAAACCCGGAAGTGGACTGGAAGTACTTCCAGTCCACTTCCGGGCCCACCGGGGAGTGCACAAGGGCCCCTCCACACCCCTCTGGCTCAGTGATCAGCCACAAGAGGACCCCGGGTGCCTCCCCAGACCCAGGAGGCACCAGTCGCCGAGTCAGGGGGTCAGGGGGAGCCCCCCCACGTGCTCCCCGGTGGACTTGGAAGTGGACCAGAAGTGCTTCTGATCCACTTCTGGGACTGCTGCTGAGTGTGCTGGGGAGCCCTCCATGCTCCTGTGGGATGCTCCATCTGCCCCACCATCTCAGCATTCACGAGCCACCTGGTACCTTGCGATATGTAGAAAAAATATTTAAAGCTGTGTCTATGTCTGAATCACTGAATCTTTCCAAATCTCTCTGAACTGATTTGGAGGGTTCTGATTCAATTTGGAGAGATTAAAGGGTCTCCTGATTTGATTCAGATTCAGAAATTCAGCCACTGAATCAGGCCAAATCGAAACAGGGACCAAAATTTCACACAGCCCTACCAGATAGTACTATCCCACAGCAGTGTTAATTAATTCACTGTGCTGTAATACGGGTGCATGTGTACACAGTGATGCTTTACTGCGGAGCTAATTAGTCAGCTCTGCAGTTGAGCAAATGAGTAAATGCACCCAGAAATTTAAATTATAACCCAGTGAAAAGTAAAATCATTTAACAATATTAGCTCTGTAATGTATCATGTCACCTGCAATAGAGCTACTGTAGATAAAGCTTTTAAAAAATTCCAGACTGTATATGAACTTATTTACTGGACTGATAAATCCTGATAATATTTGGCTTTATGTCTTCTGAATTCAGCTCTTCTGAAGTTTTCAAGCCATGGAGCTAATTAATAAATGCACCACAATTTTCACAAATGATACAATCAAAATTTGATACTTTTTATTGAAAATTGAAATTTCAGTGAAAAAACTTTGGTTAATTTTTCTTCAATTTTATATTTCTTCTTTATCCCAATTTACATTAGTCCTCAAATCTGAACAAAAATTTTTGTTGGACACAATTGTCAAAAATATCAAAAGGTTTTATAGCAGAAATCCTTAATTATAAAGGACAAAAATCATCAGCATTATAAAATTGCAACAACAAAAAAAGGAATGCTCTGTGGAACAAGAATGCTTTTAAATAAAGGCTTCTTGATCCCAGTGCTTTCAGAACCAAGAGTAGACCAGGTAATCCAAAGGAAGGACCTTGTCCAAACTCCTGCAGAAATTCAGGATTCTCTTATCCTAAACAAAATTAAACCAATCGTTGCACCCCTATCTTAACTCTTGAGCAACTTCTCAAATGGTCTAAACATTTTACTTGGGACTGAGACCAGGATGAAGATTTTTCACCCCAAAAGAGATTTGTTTCAAAAAGCTGTGATCCATGGAGGAGTTTAGAATTCAGTCTGGGACTTGGTACCTATGCTGCTTACAGAAAACTGCATAACTTAAATCTATTCTGCCTCGGGTTTTTGAATGCCTGTTCCTAGTCTCCGTGTCCACAACCTACACATATTATAATTAAAATAATTTCATTTATTGCAATTAAGCTAATCTAAGTCTCCTTTTCTTTTGGTAGTGTAAGGCACTGCTTTTGTCCAGTGACTACAAATTCCCTGCATTTAATTGTTTCCTTCCTTCTTTTAGACAACCCCTCACAAGTTGGCAGTGTATCAGTCACAGTCAAGGTCCTGGATGTGAATGACAATGCTCCTGAATTTGCCAGGTTCTATGAAGCTTTTGTATGTGAAAATGCAAAAGCTGGCCAGGTGAGGAGTCTGTGTATGAGAGATGTCTGTGTATGAGAGATGAGGACATATTAGCAGCTAAGAAAGGGAGGAGGAGATGTGAGGAGACTTGTAATACACAATATTAGTGTTTTACCAGAGCTCTGTTCAGCAGCAGACAGTACGGTTCTTCAATGTGTATCCTCTACTGGTTTCATCATTTTCCAGAGGTATATCATACTAACAATAATAACACAGGCAGCACCTTTTATCCCCATCATTAGGTCAAAGGTATTTTGCAAACTCTGGGCAAGATTCACTTGATTGCTAAAATGAGCCATCTTTGGGGATGGTGCCAGCAAACTGCATGTAGCACAACAGCAACAAGGAGAGGAAAGTGTCATGGAATCACTAGTGTTCTCATGGAATTGTTAGTGTTCAGACATGACAGATAGAGTTTGTTTCCTAAAAAGTGGTGTACAGGAGACTCCCCCACACAGGGAGATGCTTAATACATCCACCTCCAAAGAATGAAGTTGTAAGGCAAATCTACAAGAAGTCAAGCCTCTGAGTTTCTAACATAAGATGCCAGATTCCATTCATTTACTTGTTTGTAAATTAAGGATCACTCCTCTGACGTAAGCCATGATGACTCCACAATCCGCTTTCTTTCTTTCTCCACCATGTCTTTGGAACATGGGCTGCTCCAGCAGGATACCCATATTCCACACCAGACTTCCATTAAGGTCATGTCTACATTAGGAGTGTGCAAAATGGGCCTTATTCGATTCAGATTCAGCCCAAATTGGGGACAGTGATTCAATTTGTTGATTCAGATCTCTGTCCCAATTCGATTCTGCCAAATCCAAATCTGAAGATTTGATGCTGATTCAGAGAATCAGGAATTCAGCTATAGACACAGCTTTAAATGTTTTTTCTACATACCTCGAGGTAGCAGCTTGTGAACGCTGTGATGGTGGGGCAGATGGAGTGTCCCACAGGAGCATGGGGGGGAGGGCGCATGCTCAGCAGGGAACCGGAAAGTGGACCAGAAGTACTTCCGGTCCACTTCTGGGTCTGCCACCAAGTGCAGTGGGGGGCCCCTCCAGCCCCCTCCCTGGCTCAGCAATCAGCCACGGGGGGACCCCAGGTGCTCACCTAGATCCAGGAGGCACCAGTCACTGAGCCAGATGAGGTGCAGGGCAGAGGGCCCGGCATGCTTCCTGGCGGACCCAGAAGTGGATCAGAAGTGCTTCTGGTCCACCTCCAGGTCTGCTGCTGAGTGCACTGGGGACCCCTGCCCCCCCCCCCATGCTACCTTGAGGTATGTAGAAAAAACATTTAAAGCTGTGTCTATTAGCGCTGTGCAAAACTTTGGTCACTGATTCAATTCAGCAGAGATTCGGCCCAATTCAGCAGCCAGATGGCTAAATCTGAATCGGATCAGAAGACTCTTTAATCTCTCTGAAGTGAATTGGAACCCTCTGAATCAATTCAGGAGATTCAGAAAGATTCAATGATTCGGACATAGACGCAGCTTTAAATCTTTTTTCTACATACCTCGAGGTACCAGGCAGCTCATGAATGCTGAGATGCTGGGGTGGATGGAGCATCGCACAGGATGCAGGAGGGTCCCCAGCACACTCATCAGTAGACCCAGAAGTGGACCAGGAGCACTTCCAGTCCACTTCTGGGTCCACCGGGGAGTGTGCTGCACCGCCCCCCCCACCCCTTCCCCCAGCTCAGCAACTGTTGTCTCCTGGGTCTGGGGGGGCACCTGGGGTCGCCCCACAGCTGATCACCAAACTGGGGGTGCTGTAGGGGGGTATGATGGCAGACCTGGAAGTGGACCAGAAGTACTTCCAGTCCACTTCCAGGTTCACCACAGGCCATGCGGGGGCCTCCCCCATGCTCCTGTGGGATGCTCCATCTGCCCCACCATCTCATCATTCACAAGCAACACCTGGTACCTCAAGGTATGTACAAAAAACATTTAAAGCTGTGTCTATGGCCAAATTACTGATTCTCCGTATCAGCACTGAATCAGCCAAATCAAATTGGGACAGTGATCCGAATCAACGAATTGGGACAGTAATCTCAATCAGCCCGCTTCACACACCCCAGTGTCTATGTCCAAATCGTCGAATCTTTCTGAATCTCTCCAAATTGATTCAGAGCATTCCGATTTGATTCAAAGAGATTAAAGGGTCTCTTGATTCGATTCGTTTTTAGAGATTCAGCCACCGAATTGAGCCGAATCTCCGCCAAATCAGATTAGCGACCGAAGCGTTGCACAGCCCTAGTCTACATCATCTCTAGGTCATACATGGGAGTGCTGGTATGAAGTACATGATGACTGTTCACTCCACAATGAGGCAATGTTACCCCTGAGAACAACCCTAAATATTACCCTCATGCATTCTTTATCAAGCATGCTCACCGATGCCCACATATGGCTTCCTCTAAGGGGCCTATAATTGTCTCATTTCTGGGATTGGGTGCACAAAGAACAGGAGTCAGTGGGGGAGTTGCAACCTTGTGGTGCTCTAGGGTGCAGCACAGCGTCAGAATAGAGGTGACCTTTCACTCACTGCAGTCAATGGGAGTTCAGCCACTGATCTCAGGAGCAGCTGAACTTGAAACTGGGACATCACCCCTAGGCAAAACTAGATTACCTAGTTTTAAAAGTGGGATGACCAACTTTCAGTTCTGGAAGAAAAAAATGATCCATACAACATTTATGACCCACTCTTGGCTTCATTTAAATTTCTTAAGCTTATTCACCACTGTAGACTGTCCTGAAATGACTGTGCCAGACTCATAGCTGTGGTGACTTCCCTGAAGTGAATCCCTTTGTATCAAGAGTAACTTTGTCCCCCTGTGTTTAAAAAGCCCTCTAATTAGGCAGCAAAGAAAAATTGCTACTTAGTTTTGGGAGTAGAAAGTTTCACTAAAGGGCAGACTTTCCAAATAGCATGTGAGAAGTTAAACATGCAATTCTGGTACAGATTAACTGGAATCATGTAGTTAAATCCCTTTGTGCCATTTTGAAAAGTTAGAAGTATCAGTTTTGATGTGTTATTTAAGGCTGCCCAAGATCATCATTTATTTTTCATCAGAAAATAAAATACAATAGTATAAAATGAGGTAGAGAAGTATTCCTTGCCTAAAAGCTAAATAAAATGGATTTTGCTACACTTGTTCATGCTGCGAAGTAGCTTACTCTGCTTTTATCCCCAGTAAAATCATCAGTCTACTTGACAGAATCAGTATGAATAAGGATAGTACAACGTGGCTGTGAATCAGCTTCCATTTTAGTTTCTTTCCAAACTTTATTATTATCTTTCTAGTTTAAGGTAATTCTTGTTTGCTTTAGTTTCACTGTTGACTCTCTATGAATAACCTAATGAATTAAAAATTAAGGATTACCTCTTTGCTCCACTGAAGTTAATAGAAATATTTTCATTGATTTTGGTGAGCCATGATTTCATCCAAGGTATTTTAAACAGTAGATCACCTACAGCATCACCATCACTAATTCTTCTGAACCCTGAATGTTGTTTTATTAAAGGTAGAATATAAAGGCAGAGGAGGAAGGTTTATACTCTGTATTCAGAAACAGATTAAGGTCATGGTACTAAAAGTTACACAGTTAAATATTGTTCCAACATACAGAACAATCATCATTTAGAAATAGAGTTGCACTGATACATCAGTCCATATTGTATCAGCACCAATAAAAGGAAAATTGACATTATCAGCAATCAGCTTTTTTTGGCTGATGTGGCCGATAACATCTCTGATAAATGCCGCATACATGTATGCAGCCACAGCATTCATGCAGCCAGGAGTGTAGCCTGGGAGCTTGGAGACTTGTGTCTGGCCAGTAAGTCTGTGGGAGGGAAGGAGCATGGGGGGAGGGGCAGATCAAGAACCTCAGAGTGAGGGAGGGAGTAGGGTTGAGGCAGGGGCAGGTAATGCCCAGCTGGGGGCATGGGGAGGGCTGCGTGGGAAGCATGTGCCCCCCAGATCTGTGCATGGTGTGGAGGCAGGCTGCCACTGCGCGCTCGGGGCTGGGGCCGTGCCTGCCTCTTCCCAGCAGCTGAACCTGGGCTGGGTAGAGTGGTGCAGGGAGGACGGCACTGGGAGGGGGCTACACCAAATTTTGAGGTGGCTCTAGCCCCACCCCATACTAGCCCTCCCAGTACCACTGCTGCCCACCTCTCACCACCCCACCCGGCCCAAGCACAGCTGCTAGGAAGAGGCAGGCACAGTCCCAGCCCCAAGCACATGGCTGCAGCCTGCATCTGCCCTGTACACAGATCTGGTGGGGTACATGTCCCTTTGTCTCCTCTGGGGATGTGCACAGTGGCAGGAGCCCCCCTATTCCCCCAGGCCCTCCAGATGAGCCGCTGGCTCCATCCTGCACTCTACCGCACCCCAGCTGGGCATTGCCTATTCCTACCCCATTCCTCCCTCACCACGGGGGCCTCAATCTGCCTCCTCAACACCCCTTCTCCTCCCAATAGACTTACTGGCTGGAAGCTGTTCTCCAAGATGCTGGGCTGCATATCAGCAATCGGATCAGTATCAACTGATATGGCTGGTCAATAATCGGGCATTGGTATCAGCCCAAAAAATCTTCATCTGTGTACCCCTACTTAGAAATGAGACACAATGAATCTCTCTATATAAAATATATATAAAATGCTGCAGATGATCTTTTTTGTTTCTTTTAAAGCCAAGTAAAACATTTTTGCTGTGAAACATATCTTAAAGGCTGGGGACTGAAGTTACACATAAACCAGTATAAGTGATTGAAAACCAGTTCTAATCTGTAATGCAAAAGAAGTTCACTGCACATAAACTGCTTTCAAAGTGGCTGAAACTGGTTTAAGATAAACCTGGATGGATGTAATATCTGACTTAACTAATTTAAGTTAATTCAGTTTATTGAACTTCTGTCCCAGATCCCCTCTAGATTCAAGTTAACTCACAGTCCCCCAGCATCCCAGGATGCTTTGCACCTCCCCCACAAACTC